AAATTTCGGAATCCGGGCACATGGGCCTGGGGTCGGATTTTAGGAAACTTGTGTTAATGGTTGGGAAATTGCTTAAATAGTTAGAATTCGATTTTGTGAGCTTATATTGATTAGTTCCTACCTCATTTAACTAGTTTGGGATCGTTCGGCTCCGAATTGAGGTTTTGGGCTCGTTCTTGGTATTGGAAGTGCACTTGGAGCGAGGTGAGTCTCCTTTCTGACCTTGTAAGAGGGAATTGTCCCCATAGGTATAACAATTGAGTAATTGCTACTAAATGTGGGGGCTACGTATACACTAGGTGACGAGAGTCCGTGCGTAGCTACTATTATGTTAATTGTCCGGGTAGTCTAGGGCTCGTATCATGCTTTATTGGTGAATGTCTCTATATTTCTTGCTAATGTGACCACTTAGGATATGCTGGAGACTTGGGAAGGAAATTAAGCGAATGTATACACTTGTGGATACTTGTATGAATTTATTTGGAAATAAATGCACATTCATGTGTTTTCTTGATATAAATTGATATTTGTGGATCGGGCCGATCACCTCGGTAGAAATAGATGCATCTATGGTTCGCGCCATTCGACCCTCTGGCAGTGCACAGTTTATTTTCTGTTGGATCGGGCCGTCAACCTCGGCATAATGTGCGCATGATATCTATGTGAAACCTCATCTATGACTTGCCCTGCTAAATATTTGAAATGTGATTGGTTGACTGCAAAGTTGTTCAGAACATGACTTATTATCTCTTGCTACACACTGTTGATTATCTGTGACTCCCATGCTTAGCATAAAACCTTATTATATGACACTAGTGGTATCAAGTCGACCTCTCGTCTCTACTTCTTCTAGATTAGACGGGATACTTACTGGGTACATGTTGTTTATGTACTCATACTACACTTCTGTACTTAATTATACAGGATATGAGGCAGGTACATCTGGCTATCAGTTTGGTGCGCGCCCCTGATTCATAGCTTGAGACTTCCACGGTGAGCTGCTTCCTTCCGGTGCCGTTCGACAGCTTGATGGAGTCTTTCTTTATTTTGCTGTCTATTCTATCTCGGACAGTAGAATAGTTTATTTCTTTTGTACATTCTACTAGTTGCCCATTACTTGTGACACCAGGTCTTGGCACACACGTTAGTAGACTATTATTTTGGGGTTGTATAACTATTTTGGCATATTATTGTTTATCTCTAGTTTAATTTGAGCTTTATGATTTGCTGTACTTATTTTGGTAAAAGTAAAAAAATGAGAACTTAATTACATCTTCCGCGTTGGCTTGCCTGACAATGGTGTTGGGCGCCATCACGACCTATTTTTGAGAAATGGGTCGTGACATGTTTAGTTTGAAGTTTTAGCAAATGAACTAAATAACTTCAGCATGCATTAGCAAAAACTCATTAGAATATTACATACTGCAAGAAACTTGCATGTTTAGTCTGAAATTTTAGCAAATGAACTAAAAAACTTAAGCATGTTTGTCTGAAGTTTTAGCAAATGAACTAAAAAAAACTTAAGCATGTTTAGTCTGAAGTTTTAGCAAATGAACTAAAAAACGTAAGCATGTTTAGTCTGAACTTTTAGCAAATGAACTAAATAACTTCAGCTTAGACTGAAGTTTCAGATAAAACTCATGACAAAATTATAGACTGCTGGATAAATAACTTCAGCATGCATTAGCATGAAGTTTTAGCTTCAATGTGAAACAACTTCATGCTATATTATCATGGAGTTTTAGCTTCAACATGAAATAACTTGATGCTACATTAGCATGAAGTTTTAGCTTCAACGTGAAATAACTTCATGCAGGTGTGATTCTGAAGATGAATATGGACAATTTTTTTTTTGCCAAAGTTGTTGAGAGGAGAAGAGGAGATCTTTTTTTACGAATGAGGTTGCAGATCACGCGATTAATGCGTGATGCAGGTTTTATATCTTTTGTCAGGGGCGTAATTATCATATTATTACGGATTTTTTGGTCAGCTGGCTACCAAATTAATAATTTTTAAAAATAGGGTACAAGTTAAATTGTGGCACAAATATAGGGTACGACTGCAAATCTCCCTTAATCCATGAATGAAAAAATTCAAAAATAGCTAGATTTATAAGTTGCCATTCAAAAATAGCCACAGTTCAAAAGTAATCGAAATTTAGCCACTTTTCATGTAAAGATAAATCTGAACGAAAACACTGTTCAAAATCCAAAAAATACTCCAGCACAATATACTGGAATTTGAGTATAATATATCAGTCCAGTATAATATGCTGGAAATTCATACACAGGTGCTCCAATCTCCAGTATATTATGCTAGAACTTTCCGCGTGTTGGAGTTCCAGCATAATATGCTGAAAGTTCTTACACATGTGCACCAATATCCAGTATATCATGCTGGAACTTTTCGTGTTTCAGCAAAATAGTGGCTATTTTTCAATGATTTTGCAAAGACTGGCTATTTTTCAATGAACAGTCCGAAAACGGACTAGCCCGTGATATTTTTACGTTGTTTTTAGGGATTTTTACTTAACTGTTCTATAATAAAAACCTATTTACTACCTTTATTTATGTTCTTATTAATTACTTTATATACCGATATTTACTAGTTTTATACAAAATCATAAAAAGGAGGAAATGAACATACCTTAAATATTGGGTATCAGTTACACATAATCCCCTACATTTAAGATACTCTTCTTTTTTCCAAGGAAAACTATACTGTCTTTGTACTTACCCAAAATCATCACCTCTCTTTGTACTTACCCAAAATCATCATCGTAAGAAACCCACTGAACCCCAATATCATCACCTCTCTTTGTACTTACCCACAGTAAGAAACCCATTGATAACCATAATCTTTCAAACCCAAAAATCTCGCTTACTCACTCCTCTTCCATATCCCCCCAAAATTGCAGATTCTTTCCTCTTCCAAAGCTGTTGATATACGATTTCTCTCTTTAATCGTCCAAAATCTCTTTCTTATTTATACAATATAGAAGAAATTCGAAGATTTACTCTACAATCAAGTTGTGGGTAAGCTTCACTCTATATTAAAGTTGGTTTTAGGTTGAATTTCATAATGAAACTCGAGGAAGATGAAGTTTCAGAATTGCATTACGATTGTATGATAAAGGTATCATAATTGTCTGAGTTGTATTTGATACATCAATACCTAAGACAATTTTGATACAATACTAATACTATTAAAATACAATATTGCATTATAATTTAAGTTTAGAGTTGGTTCTAGGCGGATGTTTTAAATTGAAACTTGAAAAAGATGTAGATCAAAGATGTATCATAATTTAGAATTGTATCACAATTTGTACCTAAAACAATACATGATACAATACTAATACAAGTATAATACGATATTGTATCAGTTTAAGTTTAGAGTCGGTTTTAAGTTGTATTAGAATTGTGTAAGAATTCTTTCAGGATTGTATCAAATTTGTATTTGAATTATGAGCAGTTGTGAGATCGTGACGAATTTCACCGTTTATATCACAAATATATGATAATTATAGATTAATTTTATTAATATTGTATCAGGTATTATTTTGGATATTAATGTACCATCTACAAGTTATATACAATTGTTATACAAGTATGATATAATTACGTTTTACGTATACAATTTAAATACAATTACGATACATTTGTCATACAATTCCTGAATATTTCTTCATTTTCAGTGTTGTCCGGTCTCCCAGCAAAAGAACGATGCAATTGATGATTTAATAATATAAAATTATCACCAATGGCGGGAAGAGAGAAGACGGAGATTCTGGGCGTAGATTAAGGAATTTTGTTGTAAAAAAAAAGGAGAGAGAAGAGAGAAGAGAAGAGGAAATAAAAGGAAAGAATATAATTGAATCCCTTAATTGAAGGCACTAATAATGGGGTGAAATACTTTTATGGAGCAATCTATACAATTTGTAAGAAAAATCTAGATACTTATTAAAAACTACAAAATATAAAGAACATTGGTAAATAAGTTTCTAATATAGTATAACTAGGTAAAAATCCCTTGTTTTTAGCAGTTATCCCGGAACCTCGAAGGAAATTCAGCCCACTAAGTGGAGGTAAAAATTGCACGGGGCGCCCTATTTGGTCGTCCCCATTTAACCTATACCCATTTTTTTAAAACTTTTAACTTGTACCCACTTTTTAAACAACTTCAGCTCCTTTCTCCTCCTTCGTTTTCTTTTTCTTCTTTTTTTTTCCAGTTATTAGTTTTAGTCCAAAAGTTAACCTTTTTTTTCCAGTTTTAATCTTTATGTGGTAAATACAAGTATGAGATGTTGTTTATATTAAGAATACAATGAATACTCTACAAGATAAGATGAGGTATTAGTTAGATTTGTATCTTTGTTTTGTTCCAATTGTTTTCATTGTTATGTGCAGGAAATTGGCTGACCTTAGTTATCATAGAAGTGCCAAGAAATGTAAAGAGAAATTCGAAAACGTTTACAAGTATCATAGAACTAAAGATGGTCGTGCTTGTCGTAATGGTTGAACCAGAGGATACAATAGCTGCAGTGAAAGCATACATTCAAGAGGAAAAAAGGATCTCTTTTAAGAAAACTTCAGCTCTACAAAAACTTCAGCTCTACAAATTAAAACACAAAAACTTCAGCTCTAGAGCTGAAGTTTCCCAGTACAACACAAAAACTTCAGCTCTAGAGCTGAAGTTTCCAGTTACAACACAAAAACTTCCCAGTTACAATACAAAAACTTCAGCTCTAAAGGTGAAGTTTCCAGTTACAACATAAAAACTTCGCTAGTTACAAAACAAAAATTTCAGCTTTAGAGCTGAACTTCAGGCCGACTACTAGAATGCTGAAGTTTTGTATGATTGCCTTTGCTACTCCAGCCCCATGTGCTGAAGTTATGCGAAAAAATGGGTACGCTTGCAATTCTTTTTGCAAAGCGGGCACAAGTTAAAATGTGACACAAATGACCGTGGAGTACATTTAGCCCGTGAACCTTGAGAGAAATCAGCCCACTAAGCGGAATACATTTATACCCGAAGTTCAAAATCCGAATGGTAACAATCGTAACTTCTCTTCAATTCTCGTCTCCAACAAAATCAAAGAACTAGGGATAGGGTTTGGTGATCAAAGATTCAAAACTACCGATTATGTCTCGTTATGAAAGCAAAAGTGACGACCGCAGAAGATCGTCTCCGTATTCTTACAAAGATCGAAAGTCGCATCATCACGAGGTTCATTTTTTCTCTTTAATATTTGCTGGACATAGGGTTCAAATTGCTCTAAACTAGCTCGAATAATTTGATTCAAACTTTGCTAAATTAAGAAACTTACTAATTTATTTAACGAAGTGACATCGGATATATAAACAAATTTCTAATGTACTGTAATTTTGGATGTGAGCTAAAGCAATTTAATCAGAGATAAAAGGAATGAAATTTTTAATTGCAAGGAGCAATCAGTTGAATAAGACTTGAAGCTCCACGAGGCCATTTTAAGGTATTTTGGAGATAATCTTAGAGAAACAACAAATGAGATAAATTTGAATTTGTAACCAAATTAGTAGGATGAGAAACAGTTCGTGTGAACAGGACTATTGTAATTACTTTGTCGCACAAGATAAATTTCTACCTCATGGTTGTGGCTAAAGGGAAAATGCAATCCCAAATTGTTTGAAATTATCATTTTAAGAACTTTCAAGAATGAGAAAGCAAAAAGGTATGAGCCCATTAGTTTTATGCTTTCCTGTTTCTAGAAAAAGTAGAAAGTAGCACTGAAGGGTGTGGCCTTGAAGTTGGAATAAACCATGGGAGACCAAAGTTGACTAAAAAAGTTTGGTTATTTCCTTTCAATTTGTCTAAGCCTTGGTGGAAAAAGTTACTCGGTATATGTGCTGGTGGGAAGTAGCAGGTACTCGATTGATTAGTTGAGGTGGCGTAACTTGACCGGGGCACTACAGTTTAAGATAATTAAAAAAAAGAGAGGTAAAAATCATAATCCCTGTGCATGTAACAGCTCCATACTGGTTCTCTAGTACGGCAATTAAAGTACTTGGCTAAACATATGTTGGAACCATTTAGAATGCTGTTGGATATCACTCAAGTATTATGAAACTTGACGTGGCATAGTTCAGAAGTTCAACGGAATAATGATGTTTAATCACCGAAAATGCTTGTTATATTCATATAATTTGATTGAATTTCAAGCCCTCGCACTGAAAGTAAGCTGTCTTTGTTTTGTGTCATCCCCTAGGTGGAAGCTTTTGATTGCAAAAATTTGATCAGTAAAACCATTTTAGTCTATATGTGATCCCGTGAACTCTTTAAGCATATATTTCACTGCTTGTTGCTTTGGGCTAATTTCAGAATATTGTCTAATTGAATTTTTCAGAGCCAATCTAATGGATCTCGGCACGATAGATTGAGGGATAAATATTCCAGAGATCAAGACCGTCATCGTGAGGAATACAAGGATAAAAGCAGCAGGGGCTACAGAAGAAATGATGACAATGATGATTACAGCCCTTCCAGGAATCATAAATTTGACAGGTCATTTTAGAAAGAATGTTTGTACGCATAAGCTTTGAGATCTTTCCATTGGCTTACTGGTTCTTCTCTGGGAATAAAGTTTGTTCATTTGAATTGTTATGTCGTACTTCCGTCATGGTGCATTCTGCTCTATTAAATTTTGCTAAAATTATAGATGCATGCAATGGGAAGAATAGTTAGAGGTATTAGCTAACTCATAGGATCTGTTATTTTTGGAAACAAACAGTTAACCTATATAGTGCTTCTGGAATCAGTTGGTTCCAGGAAAATCAAGGCAATCCAATTGGCTCAGTTGGAAGTCCTTGTACAGTTGTAATGTTGGCATTAGACAAGATAATTCTTTGTTTGGTTTCACCAATCCAAAAAAATAAAAAATAGTTTGATTCCCTTATTTTTTTAAACTTTTGATAAGTAAAAAGTTCATCAATGAGCAAAACTATCAGTAAGGCAGTTATGGACTCTACAATAGGATGCATTAATTACAGAATCTTTCAACTTTTTAACAAGCTAATGGAATCTATACAATGTCCTCTTCACATGCATATTATAAATTCACTGAAAAGCACATCTACTTTCAAGACATAAACAGCTGTAGCTCTGCCTTTGAAACATCTCTGATTCCTTCTTTTCATACCATCAGACACACAGAAGCTGGAATGGCTCTCCACAATCCGCTCCAGCACCCAACGAGTTCTTTGACAGTCTTTGGCATCACATACTTTACCCCCAAAATTTGCTTAAAACAATTCCACAACTGGACAGCTAGGGTAAAGTGCCAAAAGAAAGAAAAAGGAAGATGCTTACTGTTTCTGATCTCTCTTTGTTCTAAGGGATTAAAGAGAAACACAAAGCCAAATTGTACCTGTAACTTTTTGCTTGATGATGAATCATATATATGGCTTGCATGACTGTTGTTTACGAATTAAAAGTAGTATCTTGGATAAATTGTTATTTTGTTATATGGTCATTTGGTCACTATTGTGATTTTATAGGCGCCAACATCGTGAAGGTAGAGAAAAGGGAGAGACACGTAGATCCCATTCAAGGTCAAAGGATCGTTCTTATGAGAAAGCTAGATCAAGATCAAATTCTCCTTTACCTCCAAAGAGGTTCCCTTATAATTTTTGATAATAATATGAATTTCCAAGTTAATAACTTCTTAATATATTGTACTTATGGTTTGATATTTTTTTTAAAGCAAATTACTGCAAGATTTCAATTAGTCTCATTATCATGTGGTTTTACTTTAAATTTTTTGCAAATTTTTGTTTACCTTTGGATTATTCATATGTCTTTCTCAATGCTCTATTTCATTTTCCACGAGGGATTCTTTTGTTCTCGTTCTTTTAAAACATGAATATATTTTACTCAAAATCATAGAGAAAAGTCTTGATTCACTCTTTTGTTCTCTTCCAGGCATCCACAAAATTGAAAAGTGCCATAATCTATGTTTTCCTTTTTGACAGCAAGCGGACAAGTGGCTTTGATATGGCTCCATCAGTAGCAGCAGCTTTTTCTAGTGGGGCAGGTTAGCATTTAGAACTTAAACTGCACAGATAATTATAGCTCTCTCCTACCTAAAATGATATCAGTGTACATTTAGAGATTTATGGTTATGTTCAATATGATAAGCTTTAATTTGTTTTCGTGCTGATAATTTCTACTTGGAACTGAGAATCATTGTTGTGTTGTTTGCTGTTGTGTTGGTTCTTTGTTTGTGATTTTGTTACATATGGCTAAGAAGGCAATATTGGACTTTATGTCCCACCATGCTACTCATGGGCGTGAGGGCTGTAGATTTAATTCAAGGAGGAATCAGTGCTTATGTTAGCTGGAACTTTTCCATCATCAACAGCAACTGTTGTAATTTGGTAGGCTCGCAATTGTTATCCAGAAACCTGCAGTGGTGGAATATAATTCTTGTTTTATTATCTGAATGGTGTACAATATATAGGTAAGGGATAGGTGCTTTTCCTTTTATGCTCTCTCTGGTGAATAACTACTACCATGATCCCTTTGACTCAAAAGCTAAAATGTTTTTTAAAAAATGTTTCATGTAATCTGTTGAATTCAGCATTTAAATCTGTTGTTTGTCGGCTGCATAATTTCTCAGATTTTACATTTTGACTTTCATCACTTTCGCTTCTCTTTTTACTTATTCCTTGTTATGTAGAGCAAGTTCTGGGTTCTTCCAATGCCCCTCAATCAATTCCTGGAATGTTACAAAACGTATTTCCAACTGATACAATTCAGGTACCACTAATTTAATTTGTAGGATTTATTTTTTGTTTGTATTTATTTTTTGTTTACTTCGATGTAAGTTTTCCCTATAGATCCATTTAGTTATTTCTCTGACTAAGGCGTGTTCAACAGGTTAATCAGTTGGGTTCTTTCCCTTTCTTGCCAGTTCAAGCCATGAGTCAGCAAGTAAATATGTTTTGCTGAAGCTCCATCCTCTTCTGTATTTACAAGAAGTGTTTCACCTTTTCCCCATTTTGCTCATAGGCTACAAGACATGCACGACGCGTCTATGTTGGTGGCCTCCCACCACTGGCTAATGAACAGGTAAGGCAAATATTGGTTTAATGGTCCATTTCCATCATCTTTCATCCACATTGTACCTAGGGTCCTTGCTTCTCTTTGAAATGGTTGTCATGACTTAATGTGGATGCTATACTTTACCAGCTTTTTTTTTAAGATTTCAAGCTTGCACACTGTACAGGCTGAATTTTATAACATCGGTTTTAAGATTGAATATGGCTTATGATAAAAAGGCTGCTAATTTGGAATTAAGGTGTAGCTGACTGATTTTGTTCCCCCCCCCCCCCCCCCCCCCCCCAAAACAAACAAAAAAAAGAAAGAAAGAAAAAACACCCCCTCCAAAAACAAAAAAACAAAAAACAAATATATGTCCATGAAAATTCTCCTTGTGCTGGAATTCTGCCATTAAAACAAACTGACATTCTAACTCAATTGTAAGACTATAACAAGGCCACATATGTCCCTGTCCTGTACTCGTAAGAGTGAGTTGAAATAGAGAGCTCTACGCCTCAAATATGGTGTCCCATGTAAGAAAAATTTGTTTTATGGTTGTATCTTATTTTAGGACTTTTGTCAGATCAAGTTTTGCTTCACTTAAGATTTCTTATTTCTTCTTCTTCTTTTGCTGCATCTGAAACAGACAATCTCAGCATTTTTTAGTCATGTTATGAGTGCTGTTGGTGGAAATTCTGCTGGTCCAGGTGCGTTCATATTTCAAACGTAATACTTTTATACATTTCCACTGTCACACTCCTTGTGAGTATAACCTATTCCTGAATTTCAGGTGATGCAGTTGTCAATGTGTACATTAATCATGAAAAGAAGTTTGCATTTGTGGAGATGAGAACAGTTGAAGAAGCCAGTAATGCAATGGCATTAGACGGAGTTGTTTTTGAGGCATGTATAACTATAGCCTTTTCTTTCTATATGGAGTGTTAATTTTGGGGATTCATCTATTCTAATCTCTCTTTTGGCTCGGTGTCTTAAAGTTCTACTCCTTTTATATATTTTTAATTTGGGTGGAAAGAGTAAGGTGGCGGGACTGCAGGAGCGTAAAGAAAGAGCAACGGAAACCCTCGGGACTTAATTTAATTTTTACGTCTTATGGCTGGAAATATACGTAATACATATTAATTGAAAAAAAACGATTCAATTTTTATTGTTCTTCTTCTCTCTTCTTATTTTTTGTTGTCAGTGGGGGTTCTGTTATCATACATGAGGTGGAAGCCTTCCTCCTGATTCTTCATGAATAGAACCGTACCTGTGATTCTGTATAATGAGATTCTTCTATTTCCTATAGTGCTCAATAATTCGAGGATCTTCATAAATCTTCTTATTGAGGTTAATCTAAGATGCTTATTGGTTTTGATAGGTGAAGAAAGAGAAATGGGAAACCAAGGGGCTTGAGATAATTTATATCTATGGTTGTAAAGATATGTTCTAACTTAAAATGATTCACTTTTTATTGCTTTTCCTGTTTCTTCATATTTTTTGTTTTGTGTGTGTGGATTTCTATTATAATACACGAGATAGAAAAGCAGTCCACCTGATTCTTCATGAATAGAACTGTATCTGCCATATCTATCTATCTATCCCTATAGTGTTCAATAATTCAGGGATCTTCATAAATGTTCTGCATGGATGTTTATGCTGCATGGATGTTCAAGTGAAATAGTATAGAAGACACCTATTGGCTTTAAAGGAAGTTTATAATCTTCTTATCGGCATTAGCTCTCCATAATAATAGTACTTGTTCCACTGAACATATCCTCTGTAGACAAATGAAAGTCAGATCTTCCAAATATTCTTCCTCACTGACAATGATATGTATAAATTAATACTATTCTTCTTGGTTTGCTACCCATGCCTTTAGTTCTTTGTTTTGCCAGGTGAATTTTGTTGGTTTAACTATTTGTTATTCTTTATGCTTTACTGTAAACAGGGTGTTTCTGTCAGGGTTCGAAGGCCTACTGATTACAATCCTTCTTTGGCTGCTGCACTTGGTCCTGGCCATCCAAGCCCTCACCTTAACTTAACTGCTGCTGGGCTTACGCCTGGGTAAGTTGAACTCGCTGTCTATTTTCCTTTACTGTTGTTGCTGCAGAAAATGGTGCCTCTGTCCTAAATTTGCTCTGGAAATTGTTAGTACTTGATTGATATGAGAAAGGTAAGCCAATTATAAGACCTACATTGTTATGTGGGAATGAATCTTTGACCTCCAAAGTTCAACATATCCACAAGATGAGTGTTGCTGAGACGTGCTTGCTAAGATGGATATGCGGTCATACAAGATTAGACAAGATTAGAAATGACCACATTCGGCAGAAGGTGCAATTAGCACACATCGAGAATAAAATGAGGCAAGGGCGCTTGAGATGGTTTGGTCATGTGTTGTGTCTGTGTCTACCTTCAGATGCACTAGTCTGTACATGCAAAACCATGGTGAATGAAGGTGTTGAAAGGGGACGAGGTAGGCCTAAAATCATGAAGGAAGTAGTCTCGAAACACCTAAAATCATTTGGAGTCCATGGAAACCTAGCCTAAAGGTAGAGTATAATGGAGGAAAAAGACCTATAATAGGTGACACATATTAGCTGGGACTATGCCTTAGTCACATTAGTATGTTCACATTAGTTTTTAGGAGTCTTTTAGTCATATCAGAGATTTATATGCCAATGGAAAATATAGAGAACTTTGTTATCATTATTATTATTATTATTATTATTATTATTATTATTATTATTATTATTATTCTTATTATTATCATCATCATATATTATCATTATTATTATTATCATCATCATTTATTATCATTATTATTATTACTATACGGGTCTCATGGTCGGTGAAGAGTCATATAGCCGACCTTAAGTTGCTTGAGTTTAGGCGTAGTAGTTGTTATTGGTTGGCATGAGACATTTCAATTATGTAATGTCGGTCTGATTTGTATTGATTGAGTTGTCCCTATCTGGGATTTTGTATTTTCCCAATCAGTCAATTACTTCAGTTTAATTCCAAACAGTCATGGATCCTCTGTAGTAGGAATCTCTAAATCTAGATTTTGTATTGTGTCCTGCCAATTTTTTTCAGTGAACTTTAAAGATAAATTGCTTATAGTATTGTAGACATCAGGAAAATGTACGTATGTACATGGAAAGTACAAGTGTGGTTTTTTTAAAAATACATGGATAAATAGACTGTATAAAAGGTGATACCTCTTTGTGGAAAATGAGACTTAACTTGAAGCATTTTCCTCGTAATTAATGAGCTTACAGTATATTTTGGAGAGTAATTCAGTGTGTTGAACCTCTTCTTGATTGTTGAAAGCCAGGTGAATCTGGAGAATTTAGATGTTTGGACTGGTTTAATGTGCACAGATCGTGAGATGCTCCAACTTTTAATTTCTGTTTTCCTGTCCCTTTTTGGGTTCTTTTTTTTTATTGGGTTGTGGGGGGGGGGGGGGGGGGGGGGTAGTAGTTGGAGATGGGAATGTACGGATGCATGCCAAGCACGTTTACTCTGGGAAATTGGTGGTGCTTACATTCTCCTCCGCCTGTCAGTGTAACAGTTACAATGCTTTGTTGCCTTCTCTTTTGGGCGGCTATTTTTGTGTATGATATCTGCTCTAACAAATTATGTTATGCTTTTTCTCCTCTTTATTTCTTTCTTAGCCTGCACAGCTGTATCCTTATTGTTTGTCTTCATGTGCATATGTTTCTCATCATTTGCCAGAGCAATTGGGGACGCGGAGGAACCTGATCGTGTTTTTGTTGGTGGATTGCCATACCTTTTTACTGAAGTGCAGATAAAAGAACTACTGGAGTCTTTCGGGTACAAAAATCATATTAGATGGCAATTGTCACTAAGTTTCAGAATATTATGTCTGGAGCTCTGATGTATTGAATTTGTCTATTGTAGACCTTTGCGCAGATTTGAGGTGGTAAAGGATAGAGAGACAGGAAACTCTAAAGGTTATGGTTTCTGCACATATCAGGTAATTAAGTTGATATCTAAGTACATTCTTGCCTTATACTTTTGGGATGTAGAAAATGTTCCATAACTTCCATCTCTTTTCCTTTCCAAATTCCTTTTTTGAGCCGACTAATTAGCTGTTTTCCTTCTGTGGATCTTCATTTTTGTTTAGTAATTAATCATTCCATAAATTGATTATTTACTCGGTATCCTTCAATTAATGTAATCCCATGCCCTTTACAGTTCACACTGAATGTTTGCTATATTGAAGTCTTGGCTTTATAGTTTATGTGCATTTCAGGATCCATTTTTTATTCTTGTAGTAGCAGGATTGCATACTCTTTTCTCTCAGTTACTTGATCCTATGGTTTAAGATTGAGAGCTTGCTGATTGATGTCTTGGGTCCTTTCAGGCTCAATTTGTTTTTTTTGTTGATACTACAAAGCAATTGCTTAATACTACACCAAACATTGTCGATATATGACAAGGGAGCACAGAGGACCACTAAAAATCAACCTAATGCTGGATCGCCTACTTTATCTAGACATACAAATTACAATAATTAAATAACCTTGAATCCTGTTTGTCTCTATATGGATTTTTCACTTCTTCCTACTTCCCTAAGTCCATTTAGCCCAAGTGAATTATCTTAATAAACAATTTCCCACCAGCAAACTTCTCCTGCTTATCAGCTAATGCGATATACTCAGTTCCTCAATTGTCAGTATTACTTCCTCCGCAGTTACCTCCATTTCAGTTCCACATTATGGGCTCTCATAGATACCTGTGCTGATCCTACAGCCCAACTCAACTTCTTCACTGCAGCATATTAGCCGTTTGCAGATAATTTACCTAATCTCTCTCCATTGTTCCCTATGCTAATTATTCTCCTTAACCCTCTATCATAGTTCACTGAAGATGTCAATCTCGTTAATTACAAATGAAGTCCTCCCGATGTATTTAGATTTACAAGCATAGGTAGAATTTTGTAATTCTCCTTGCCAGCACTTCTCTCCGTTCTCTCCGTCCAACATCTTCCTATTTTGATGAGCAGGGATAAGGTTTCATCCTCATGCCAGTTAAGTGAAATGCTAAAAAATATACCAAATCTGCAGATGTTTCACTGAGTCCACACTGAATTGTCCTCCTCTGTTTCTTCTACATCTCGGCTTTTCACCTCCTTTGGATGATGTTAGAAAGCACGGGAGAAAATATTATTGATTAATATTCTATGTTACAATGAGCCCTATTTATATGTATACATAACACATAACCTACTCCTATTTCATAAGGGACTAGGACTAATTACATATATTCACATAACTATTCTAACACTCCCCCTCAAGCTGGTGCATATAAATCATATGTACCGAGCTTGTTACATATGTAGTTAATACGAGGACCAGTGAGGGACTTGGTGAAAATATCTGCAAGCTGATCATTTGACTTCACAAAGTTTGTAGCAATGTCTCCCGGGAGTATCTTTTTTCTAACAAAGTGACAGTCAATCTCAATGTGTTTAGTTCTCTCATGGAACACTTGATTTGACGCAATATGAAGAGCAGTTTGATTATCACACACAAGTCCCATATGACTAATCTCATCAAATTTCAACTCCTTGAGTAACTGTTTGATCCAATTAGCTCACATGTCGCCATAGCTATTGCTCGATATTCTGCTTCTGCACTAGACCGAGCAACCACATTCTGTTTCTTGCTCTTCTATGACACCAAATTTCCTCCTACTAAGACACAATATCCAGACGTAGAACGTCTATCAAAAGGTAATCCTGCCCAATCAGCATCTGAGTATCCAACGATCTGCTCATGGCCTCGATCCTCAAACAATAAACCTTTGCCTGGAGCTGATTTTATATACCGAAGAATGCGGGCAACTGCATCCCAGTGACTATCACAGGGAGAATCCATAAACTGACTCCCAACACTCACAGGAAAGGAAATGTCAGGTCTAGTCACTGTGAGGTAATTTATTTACCAACCAACTGCCTATATCTTGCAGGATCGCTAAGAGGCTCCCCCTGTCCCGGCAGAAGTTTAGAATTCGGATCTATCGGAGTGTCAACAGGTCTACAACCTGTCATTCCTGTCTCCTCAAGAATATCTAAGGCATACTTCCGTTGTGAGATCACAATACCTGAGCGACCTCAATACCCAGAAAATACTTTAATCTGCCCAATCCTTAGTCTGAAAGTGCTGAAAGAGATGTTGCTTCAACTTACTAATACCATCCTGATCATTGCCGGTAATAACAATATCGTCAACATAAACGACTAGATAAAACAGAGATTTGAAGCAGAATGCCGATAAAACACGAAGTGATCAGCTTCACTACGAGTCATGCCAAACTCCTGAATAACTGTGCTGAACTTACTAAACCAAGCTCGAAGAGATTGCTTTAGACCATAGAGGGACCGGCGCAACCGACATACAAGGCCACTAGACTCCCCATGACCAACAAAACCAGGTGGTTGCTCCATATAAACCTCATCCTCAAGGTCACCGTGAAGAAAAACATTCTTAATGTCCAACTGATAAAGAGGCCAATGGCGAACAACCACCATGGATAGAAAAAGGCGGATTGATGCTATTTTAGCCACGGGAGAGAAAGTATCACTGTAGTCGAGTCCAAATATCTGAGTATACCCTTTGGCAACAAGACGAGCCTTAAGTCGATCAACCTGGCCATCTGGACCAACTTTGACTGCATACACCCAATGACAACAAACAGTCGATTTACCCGAAGGAAGAGGAACAAGCTCCCAAGTACCACTCGTATGTAAAGCAAACATCTCGTCAATCATAGCCTGTCGCTACCCGAGATTAGACAGTGCTTCACTTGTAGACTTAGGGATGGAAACAGAGGACAAAGATGATACAAATGCACAATGGGATGATGACAGACGATGATAACTTAAACCGACATAATGGGGATTAGGATTAAGTGCGGACCATATACCTTTTCGTAGTGCAATCGGTTGACTAAGAGGAGACAAGTCCGCAGTATTAGCAGGGTCAGGTATAGGACGTGAATCAGCTGGGCCTGATGCTGGCGACAATGATAAGTCAGGAGTGGTGGAGCTGTAGAAGGTTGAACTGGACTAGGTGGTGGCACTGGAGCTATAGTTGGTGGAGCTGGACTAGGTGGTGGCAATGGAGCTGTAGGTGGTGGAGCTGCAACTGGAGCTGTAGGTGGTGGAGCTGCAACTGGAGCTATGGAGGAAGATGAATGGGAGATAGTGACTGAAACTCCAAAAGACGGAACTGGTAGCACCTCAGAAATATCTAAGTGATTACCTGAACCTGTGAAGTATGATTGAGTTTCAAAGTAGGTAACATTAGCAGACATTAGAAACCGTTGGAGGTCAGGACAATAACATCGATATCCCTTTTGTGTTATCGAGTAACCCATAAATATGCACTTAAGAGCACGATGAGCTAACTTATCTTTTCCTGGAGTAAGGTTATGAACAAAACACGTACTCCCAAAGACACGGGTGGAAGAGAGAACAAAGGTAAGTGGGGAAACAGGACAGAAAATGGAACTTGATTCTGGATAGCTGAAGATGGCATATGATTAATAAAATAGCAAGATGTAAGAACTGCATCCCCCAAAAACGCAGCAGAACATGAGATTGTGTGAGTAGGGTACGAGCAGTTTCAATAAGATGTCTATTCTTTCTTTCAGCTACCCCATTTTGTTGGGATGTGTGCGGACAAGATGTTTATGAATAATCCCATGAGAGTTCATAAACTACTGAAATGGGGAAGACAAATACTCTAGGGCATTATCACTACGAAATGTGCGGATAGAAACCCCTAATTGGTTTTGAATTTCAGCGTGGAAGGTCGGAAAATAGAAAACAACTCTGATCGATTTTTCATCAAAAATATCCAAGTGCACATGGAATAATCATCAATGAAACTGATAAAGTAGCGGAATCCCAAGGTAGAACGACCCGACTAGGACCCCAAACATCTAAATGGACTAAAGTAAAAGATGACTCTTCTCGATTATCAAGACGCCGCGGGAAATGGTAGCGGGTATGCTTACCGAGCTTACATTACTCACACTTGAGTGGACAAGTGAGATAAGCCAGGTACCATTTTCTGAAGTTTTGACAAACTGGGATGTTCCAACCGTTTATGTAATAAATCTGGTGAATCAGTAACGGAACACGTTGTTGAAGGAAGACAAGATGTGAGTCCATGTGATTTTGTAAGGATAAGGTAATAAATTCCATCTGATTCATGTCCGGTACCAATGATCCGCCCCGTACTGCCTTCCTGTATAAAAACAAGGTCATCAAGAAATAAAACAGCAGATTTAAGTGATTTGGCCAAGCGACTAACGCTATGAGATTAAAAGGACTACCGGGAACATAAAGAACTGAGTCTAAAGGTAAGTAAGGAAGTGGACTTGCTTGACCTATTGCAGTTGCCATGGTTTGAGACGCATTGGCCATTGTGACTGTTGGAAGAGATTGAGAATATGTAATACTAGTGAAAAGAGATTTGTTACCAGAAATATGATCAGATGCACCTGAATCAATGACCCAAGACTCATAGGTTGAAGATTGGGGAGACACACGTCACACTACTATTTGTTGGAACAACGGAGGCTAATCCTGAAGATGTCTGTTTACGTGCTTTGTACCGAAGGAACTCAATATAATCCGATAAAGAAACCATCTAGATTGGATTCAATGCATTGGATCAAACGGATTGTGAGTCTAAGGCTTCTAATACGAATGACATTATGATGTTCACGCCGGAAAAATTGGAAACCCTTCTGGAAATTACTATTAACGCCAGAAAAATCAGGAAATTCTCTGAAAATCACTGTTCACGCCGGAAAAAATATGAAAGTGGTCGGAATTTGGTTTAAATTGGATGGGTAGGCTTGGAATTGCAAGGCGATTACACTGTCCAAAAGAAAATTTTCCAAATTCTGATCGGAACAGCCTTCAAGCGCCGACGTGTGGGACAGACGCGCCGGCGGCGTCAGAACTCCGGCAGGATCGTGGGGGCGCGTGAGTGGGAATTTTCAGGTGACCTTTTCTGGGGTTTGGTCGCCTATCTCTTGGGAACCTTTTGGTGGTGTTGGATTTTACGCAACACTGATAATTAGATAGTCACTTAGGTCACTGGAAAATCGCACGGTGACCGAGTTCTTTCTTCCTAGATGTCGCTGGAATGACGCACAACGATCTCTTCTCACCAAAGCTTTGATACCATGTGAGAAAGCACGGGAGAAAGTATTATTGATTAATATTCTATGTTACAATGAGCCCTATTTATATGTATACATAACACATAACCTACTCCTATTACATAAGGGACTAGGACTAATTACATATATTCACATAACTATTCTAACAGATGAAATTCGGGGGAATTACGCTCCTTGTCACTTGGCCCAACAGTCCAAAAAAAATGGCCCACGTTTGAAGCCCTTACCTGATATGGCCCAGGTTGTACATAATCTGAAAATTATTTTTCACCAGTTAGCCCCCCTATTTTTTTTCTTTTCTTCGTTCTTCTTCTTCCTCTTCCACGACTTTGCACCCCAAAATTTCTCTACCATTATATATATTCTTCAATTCTCCTTCGAGATTCCAAGTTGATAATCACTATTAAGATGAGAAGAAAAAATACCACTTAAGAGAATTATTATTTTTGGAGTCGCCATTAAAGGTCATTCGAAGCTTCAATTTCAGAAATTGGATTTTTCAATTTTGTTAGTTGTTTGTATTGGGTGTTGGCCCGATTGATTGGGATCGTCAAGGGGAGTTCAAAACTCAAATTTGAAGTGATTTGGAGCAGATTTGAGCTAGATTTGAGTTGAATTTCAGAAGATGCCCAAAGAAGAAGAAAAACCCGTGAAGCTCCATTAATAGGATTCATTTGTATAATAGTGTATAAGTAATGTGTAATAGTGTATAAACACCTCTTGTACATTATTTTATACAAGGTTGATACATTATTTACAATTTGGTGGATTTCTCACGTTATTTCTTGTTCTTCTTATTGTTCTTCTTCTTCTTCTTCAACTGCATACATGGTGTATCACTAACATTTTCACTACTGTGCTTATACATCTTTATACACTTTTATACAACTATATATATAATATACCTCTTTGTATAAAAGTGTATAATGTTGTATAAAAATGTATAAGCATCTCTGACGAACTTTGTGTACGATTTTCAATCAAACTATTCCAAATCTCCATTAAATGACTTTAAACTTTGTATACAGTCAACTAAGACTAATTATAATAAGTTCAACAATACCCACTCCATATTTCTCATAAAATCATATTCAAAATCTAACAAGATTAGCATTAAAGAAGATGAAATTTTAGATTTCTCGCATCTGTTTTTGAATTTTCGTAGTTGTGATAGGTATGTAGAAACTTGAGGAAAAAGGAGAATGGAAATGTTTCACGCTTGAATATATAGAGAATAAAAAAACTGAAAAAATTCAGATCTAAGCTTATTGATATTTGGCTACACATTTGCAAACTTGTAAGTGGGGCAAAATAATGCAAGGTCAACTTATGGAGTGCATTATTATGTAATTTTGTCATGAAATTCCCATTGCTTCTTCATAATGCTGAAGAAGGTTTTACCTTATATTGGGTAGTAACCAACTATTACTTGCTTCAGGATCCATTAGTTACAGACATTGCTTGTGCTGCGTTAAACGGCTTAAAGATGGGTGACAAGACACTGACGGTTCGACGTGCTAACTCTAGGTATGTTTTCATCCAGCGTTTAGGAAATCCGGTGACTGAAGACTGGAAATTTGTGAGGCATGCAATATTTCTTCTGGAACTTTTTCTAAATCCTGTATCTCCTGTGTGTTTGTGTTTTAGTTGGATGGGTTCGTCATGACTTCTTTGTCGTACGTCTGATTCTGTTTAGTATCAAGATCATGTTCTCATCATTATGATAACAGATTAAATTTTCTAAACCGAACTCTTCTGATTGTTTACATTTGGTGTCATCATCTAGATCTACATTGTATACTAAAAGATTATGTCTTCGAGGTTCATGTATAAGAGATGACCTTCCTCTGAGAAGATATGCAGAAGTACATTGTGCGACCTAAGAAACGTGTGGTTTCTACCCATTTAGATAGTCTGAGAATTTTGTAATTCGATTTTATTAGTCCTTGGGAACAGTGTAGCTATAGTTAAGAGTCAGAGTACTGAGTAGGTTGAATTGTTCAGTAATCAGTCATGTTCTTTCAGAAACAAGTGTCTTGCATGCTTGCTTCGTTGGCTCAAAAAGTAGAATTTGTAAACTGCCTTGGGCTTGATTTATGTTCAAGCAGAAAATTTTACTTTTGAAAGATGATTAACTTCCCTCCGTACATGGTCTATGCCTTCCATATGTTATTTTATTGAAGGGGACTGGGAGTTCATGGCATGTCTTTCATGTTTTGTTGCTGGAACCGCACTTGCAGTTTGGAAAGGGCTATTCTATATTCCGATGGTAATTTTATTATTTTCTTTTTCTATGACATTTTCCAATCATGTTTAACAGCACCGGGCAGGTGAAATCTGAACAGGAGTGTATATTGGCTCAGGCAAGGCAACATATAGCTATGCAGGTTGAATGTTATCTACAGTATCAACTTATTATTCTTAATACTCTTCTGAGCCTTGGAGCATCAGTAAAGTTGTCTCCATGTGACCTATAGGCCACGGAGTCGAGTCGTGGAAGCAGCCATTAGGGTAGGTTGTCTACATCACACCCCTTGGGGTGTGGTCCTTCCCCATGACCCTGCTTGAATGCGGGATGCTTTGTGCACCACGCTGTCCTGTTATTCTAAATACTCCTCTGACCCAAATGCTTCAACCTTTTTAACTTCCCGAGTTTTGAGCTCAGTGAACTTTGACTAATATTTTGATATCAGCAAATTGAAATCAATTTGTAGAGCTTCTGCTGAAATTTCTGAATGTCTAAGTTTTAATTCGATCTAATAAATAAAACTTATCCAATCTAACTCTTAAAATTGGTCAAATAAGTGATCGGGGTAGAGTGAGCATTTTTCTCGACTTTTGATCGCTTAAGGAATATGCTGCTTGCTTGCAGAAAATGGCTTTTGAAGCTGGTGGTATGACTATTCCTGGTACAGAGATAGGGCCTGTTGTGACTGCTGAAATTCCAACCAAGGTGTTATGTTTAACTGAGGTATTTACACGTCTTAGAGATAAGGATATTCGTTATATAACTTATATTTAAAGGTAATGATAAAAAATATCGAAGTAATTCTGATAGGTTATCTTCCTCTTGATGTATTGAAGGTAATTACCCCTCAAGAATTGTTTGATGACGTAGAGTATGGAGAAATTTTGGAAGACATGAAAGAAGAAGGCCGAAAATTTGGTGACTACAGCTTCTAATTCATTAACATATCTTTTGTTCTCTTTTTTTTATTTATTTATTTTTTTTTTATAAGAATATGTTGTTTATGTTTCAATCTGTTTGCTGTATTCACATAGACAATGCTTCTATTCAGAAAAGATGATTGAACAGGAGCCACTTTCAGAATGATTAATTATGAACTATTTTAAATAACTGCAACAGTACACAGGGAGTTGCTTGCCTGTGGACTCTTCTTTTTGATACCTTGGAAGAACAAAAAAGTTATTGTATGATGGTTGATGCCTTACCTCCATATATAATTGAATAAAGAAGAAATTTTAAGATTTAAATGAAGAAGAAACTAGAAGAAAAAGATATCTATATTAGAAGAGGGCTATATTTTTGGTTTTTTTCCTCATTTGTACTCAGCACTACCTTTGTGCTGTTTATGAAAACAATTATTGCCACTTCAATAAACAAAATTAAAAAAGAAGAGATCTTCTGTTCTATGAGAAGTTCTTGCTACTAAAACTTCTTTGAATAGATGATAAAAGATTCGTAAAAGATTCGATCAATTAAAATTCCTAATGTATTGTATATTTTTTTTCTTGAGTTTCCCCTCTCATGTGTGCCCTTCAATTTGTAAGATTAAGTATTGCTGAATCATTAACGGATTTTGTTTGTCTGAATTATAGGTGACTTGATTGATGTTGTTATACCTCGGCCAGAACCTGATCATCAAATTATCGAAGGTCATGGGAAGGTAATAACGTTGTCATTTTTGTGTCCAATCTTTAGGAATTGACTCAATGTTATTTCGAGCATTTCTCGTGTCTTTGCTTTGTGCTCTACAAATACTTCATATTGTTGTACAACTGAGCAATAAAACCTGTACAAACCTGTACAAGTTTGCTGCCATGAAAAGCAGAAAGGCCCGTGGTTATTTCCTGGTTGAAAATGGGAAAATAAGGTGTTCTGTTACTTGCAGTCGTCCCTTCTTTTCTTCTATACTTGTTTCGTTCTAGATCTGAGATAATCATCATAGAATTTCTACTTACCTTAATTTGTGAAGGAGAAAATGATGCATAAGCAAGTTTTAGGCTTTCTTTCTTCTTCTCTGCTACAGATATTGGTAAATGAAGGTAGTGTAGACTCTGAAAATGTTGAAAGTACGTGTTTGTATTTTTTGCTGCACGGAGAATACTCGTTAGTTAATCCTCATTAAGCACACACAATGTAGCATTATCATTGGGGATAACTCTACGTGTATGTGGTATCTTGAAAGTTCACCGGATATGGGTGCTAGCCATGAAAGCAAATGTCGAGGATAATAAACTGCAATTGTAAGAGACTGTCGATCTTGAATTTCGTTCTCATTGTTTCACATGGGTGTTTGTGTTCCAAATTGCAGGTATTTCTCGAGTACTCGGACATTACTGGTTGTAGCAATGCAAAGGCTGCACTTGGTGGCAGGAAATTTGGAGGAAATACTGTCATTGCCATTTATTATCCTGAAGACAAATACTATGACAAGGATTATGCCGCTTAGGTTTCTGAAAATTTTCCATGTTGATAGTCTTTGTATATGTTTAGTGTTTGTAATTGTCAGTTTACTGCAGTCTGGGCTGTTCGATAATGGTCAAGTAGGAGTAGTTTTACACTACCCCGTCCAAACTACTGAAATTACTAGATTTTAATTCTTTTTTATTTCCAGCACCTTGTAATGCTGTGTATTAAGATTTAAGGGTAGTTAGGCAACAAACTAGAAAGAATAAATTTCATTTGGAATGGATGGACTACAAGGATGAATTTTGCGCATATGGCAATTAAAATTTTCATTATTTCAAATATACCTTTCTTAGAGTTGCTAAATTTGGCGTTAATATAAATATTTCTTTAAATATGTTTTACTTTCCTAATGTTGAAGGACAGTGTTCGCAACAAATTATATGTGATACAAAAATAAATTGCAACCACAATATAAATATGAAGAAATATAATTTTATTGATAAAATGATGCGGGTACAATTCTATTTGTTCCCTTGATTCTTCTCTCCTATTTATCTCCGTGATTCGATGGCTGGAGCAGCGTATTTCTCGAACGTAGGATGATACAGGTTTTCATGGATTTATTTGATATCCATGATGTATGTTGTGGATCTTCTTGAATTATTTGATTATCAAGAATTATCCGGCATTTCTTGATCTCTTGTGAATATCCCGTAAGTTTTATGGGATTTTCGAGATGATCTCCATTTTTGAGATGCCTATTCAAAGGGAATATGTGACCCTTTTTATAGCTTTGATTTAACCGGGTTAGGATAGAGTAACTTCCAAGAAATCCTAATAGACACCTAGGATTTCAAGAGTCGTGTAGTATCTTTAATTTAGTTTTTGACTTGATCCCTTAAAATTTCGATATCTACAAATGCCCCCTACTTCAAGGTTTGTCGAGGGGAAGCTTGCCGGACCTCAAAGACGAGACTTGAAGTAATACTTTTTTTTCTCGCGTTTAAATAAAGAACTTAAATTCTTTTGGCAACCGTTCCAGCAACTGGTCTTGAACATGCGCCGAGTGATCGGGCCAATATAATAGAGATCGGCAGATGTGGCTGCAATAACGTCCTTACTTAGAACACCATTGCTCTTTCTGAAGGCCATCACAATAGTTGATTTTGAATCTTGTAGTTTCCGAGAAAGAGATGAAGGGCAGAATTGGTCCCACCGGGCGTGCCAATTTGTTTGCAACAAATTATATGTGATACAAAAATAAATTGCAACCACAATATAAATATAAAGAAGCATAATTTTATTGATAAAATGATGCGGGTACAATCCTGTTTGTTCCCTTGATTCTTCTCTCCTATTTATCTCCGTGATTCGATGGCTGGAGCAGCGTATTTTTCGAACGTAGGATGATACGGGCTTTCATGGATTTATTTGATATCCATGATGTATGTTGTGGATCTTCTTGAATTATTTGATTATCAAGAATTATCCGGCCACTTCTTGATCTCTTGTGAACATCCCGTGAGTTTATGGGGTTTTCGAGATGATCTCCATTTTTGAGATGCCTATTCAAAGGGAATATGTGACCCTTTTTATAGCTTTGATTTAGGGTTAGGGTAGAGTAACTTACAAGAAATCCTAATAGACTCCTAGGATTTCAAGAGTCGTGTAGTATCTTTAATTTAGGATTTGGCTTGATCCCTTAAAATTTCGATGTCTACAGACAGAATAGCCGAATCCTTTTTTTGGGGGGTGGGGGGGTGGGGCAGAATCTCAATAAATTTAGGTCTTCCTTAATTGCTAGCATATTCGTTCATCATAGGCAAAATACATAAGTTACCCCCTAAACTATAGACCAAATCCCTCTTACACACTTTCTGACCACGAAAATTACCTTACTCACTTAACCTTTTCAAAATGTGTCTAAGACACATCACTTTTTTCTTGACGAATTCTTCAAAACATGTGTGTTGTCACGCATCAATAAGGTCGTGACACGTGTACTAATTCAAGTAAAAAAAAAATACTTAATATTTAAAAGAAAAAATAAAAAAACACCCCCCTCCCTCCCCAAGCCTCTCATCTTCTTCAAACTATCATACCTTCGTCTTCCTCCTCTGTGGCTGGCACCAACACCACCTCCATGGCCGCTGCCATAGCCATAATCAAAAGAAAGAAAAAGGTCCCATCCAAATAACCACCTTCAATACATCTCCCCGACATTAATCATCGCAAGAAAATGATCTTGTCATCGAAAAACAAAAGGCCACTAATGACCCCTCCTTGCCTGAAACTTTTTGGTTCGAGTTGATCTTCTGGGTTTTGGTGTACTAAATCTCTAAGCTCTCTGCCATTTTTGTATATTCTGAACTGGGTTTTTTTGCTCATATGTTATTGAGAGGCTATCAATGAAGAAGTCCAATTGTTAGCATTTTTTCCAAATTGGGTTTCCAGTTGTTTGCTAGTATGCCAACTGAAAGAGGTGAGTCGGAAAAGTTTAAATTTTTAGCATTTCTGGAGATGCCGATGCATGGGGAGTGTATTTGCAGCATTTTTTCTGAACTGGGTCTTCAAATATTTGCTAATTATATGTTAAAGAGAGGCCATGAACTAAAATTAATAGAAATTAATACTGAATTTTTTGTAGGTGTTTTACTGTTAGAATTATTCAGTGAAATGAGACAATGGAGTTGGAAGAGAACAGGAGGGTTTCGCTGGTCATGGAGGGATTGGAGAGGAAAACAAAAGAAAAAGAAAAAGGAAAATAAATAAATTTGGACCAGAGGATCGACTTTATTAAATCTGAACCGTTGACAAAAAGCTACAAACACACATTTTTCACCTTTTCACGCGCTCCTTTTTGCGTGTAATATACCTGGTCAAAAGTGGTGCCTCTCAGGCACACTCTAAAAAGGTTAAGTGTGTAAGATAATTTTCGTGGTCAAAAAGTGTATAAGAAGGATTTGGTCTATAGTTTAGGGGATAACTTATGTATTTTGCCTTCATCATACATCATATCATAGATTGGTGCATATGGATGTTCACACATGATCAATCTTTTTTTGTCATTTTTTTTCTTTTATCTTTTGTGTGCTACTTGCACCTTTTTGTTACATATGATCAATTTTAGTTTTATTAAACTTTTATATAATTGTGCATCCATCTAAATATCCGTAATTCTACCATACTTATCTTGTGGTTTGTTAAGGTTTAGAGGCACAATCTTTTCTATTTAAAAAAAGTAAGCTATAACGATGAGCAAGTGAAAATGACAAGCACATAGATTAAGCCGAATTTGCAGCTGGAGACTGATCTTTGTGTGATACTGTTGAACCAATTATTTAATATTAATAGATGCCAAATTAAATTCGTTTTAATTAATCTCTTTATCTCCTTCCATTTGAGACAATAATTAAAAAGAACTATAAATTGAGACAATAATTAAAAAGAACTATAAAAAGAGCAAAACAAAACAAAAGTAAATTCAACAACGTGTAGGCATGTCAGAACTCAGGCGAAAAGCGGCATTTGCATCTATACCCGTTTTTTGGGTCACGTTTTAACTTGTGTCCACTTTGCAAAAAAAATTGCAGGCGTACCCACTTTTTCGCGTAACTTCAGCATACGGGGCTGAAGTAGCAAAGACAATCACGCAAAACTTCAGAATTCTAGTAGACGGGCCTGAAGTAGCAAGTGTGCTGAAGTTTTTGTTTGTAATTGCTGAACTTAAGCATAGTAGCTGAAGTTTTGTTCTCTATTTGCTAAAGTTTTTGTTTGTAATTGCTGAACTTAAGCATAGTAGCTGAAGTTTTGTTCTCTATTTGCTGAAGTTTTTGTTTGTAATTGCACTAAATAAGCTGAAGTTTTTTTGTCCTGGATTCATTAGTTTTGTCATTAAGTATGCTGAAGTTATTTAGTTCATTTATAAAAACTTCAGCACTAAATAAGTTGAAGTTTTTTTTGTCCTGGATAAGCTTTTTCAAAAACTTCAGCAGAAGATGCTGAAGTTATTTAGTTCATTTGTAAAAACTTCAGCACTAAAATAAGCTGAAGTTTTTTTTGTCTTGGATTCATTACTTTTGTCATAAAGCTTGTTCAAAAACTTCAGCAAAAGATGCTGAAGTTATTTAGATCATTTGTAAAGACTTCGACACTAAATAAGCTGAAGTTCTTTTGTCCTGGATTCATTAGTTTTGTTATAATCAGACTACTATAAAATAATCAGATTGCCAACAGTATCTAAATCATAAAATTTTGGAAATAAATAAATGTGAAAAGAACAGAATTATCATGAAAAGAATCACTAAGTGTGACCTTAAACTTCCCGTACGTGGAAATATTCACAAATTATTGTCTACTAACTTACGTAATTATTTATAATTTATTTTTAAATAATCTGATAAACATACTTATGGCAATCATCCCATGAACTGAAATTTCATAGCAGCACCAACAACAGCAGAAGAAAGAAAGAAAGAAGAAGAAGAAGAAGAAGAAGAAGAAGAAGAAGAAGAAGAAGAAAACGAAGGACGAGAAGGAGGAGGAGAAAGGGGGCTGAAGTTGTTTAAAAAATGGGTACAAGTTAAAACTTTTAAAAAAAATGGGTATAGATTAAATGGGGGCGACCAAATAGGACGACCGTGCAATTTTTACTCCCTCCGGTCCACAATAAGTGACCAATTTGCTTTTGGCACGTCCATTAAGAAAATACTAAATTCTATACGAAAATACTTGTATGACTAAAATATCCTTAATTAAATATCTTATGTGAGGAGTAAGAAAATGTTTTAGGGATATGTACATAAGGGTAATTTTGTAAAAGCAAAATTGAATTATTCCTTGATTATATAAATGGACACTTATTTTGAACTAAAATAAAAAAAAAAAATTGATTACTTATTTTGGACCGGAAGAAATAAAGTTTTATCCAATGAGACCCAAAAAGGAGGATTCGCTGACTAGGATTTGTGTCACTCTCAATTCTTGGTTATGGTTATAGATAAGCTTTGACCAATTCTGCTATTCCTCGAAAATTAAATTTACTCTTTTTCACCAATAATCAATTTTTTTCCTTTTCCCGGAACACTCTACCGCAAATTAAACAACATAATACCAGTTAGTTTTTGCCAAGTAGAGTGTGAGAAGAGTAATGTGTATGCAGACCTTATTTTTATCTTACAAAGATAGAAAGATTGTTTTCGATAGACCCTCGGCTCAAGAAAGGCATATAAAAGAAGAATCCATATAAAGAGAAGCAGTAACCAAATCCAAAAAAATAAACAAAAGATTAAAAAGAAAAATGAAAATTTTCTTTTAATCCAAGAATTCTTAGGCACTAAAA